AAGATGAGGTGGCAAGAATACACAGAAGAACTATACAAAAAAGATCATACTGACCCAGATAACCATGATGGTATGATCACTGACCTAGAGCCAGACAATCTGGAGTGCGAAGTCAAGTGGGCCTTTGGAAGCATCACTATGAACAAAGCTAGTGGAAGTGATGGAGTTCCAGTTGAGCTATTTCAAACCCTAAAAGATGGTGTTGTTAAAGTACTGCACTCAACAGGGCAGCAAATTTGCAAAATGCAGCAGTGGCCACAGGACTGAAAAAGGTCTGTTTTCCTTCCAATCCCAAAGAAGTACAGTGCTGAATACTGTTCAAATTATCACACCATTGCACTCATTTAATACTCTAGCAAGTTAATGTGCAAAATCCTTCAAGCTAGGCTTCAACAGTCCATGAACCAGGTACTTCAAGATGTACAAGCTAGATTTAGAAAAGGCAAAGGAACATTTTTTATATAAAAAGCAAGAGAATTCCAGAAAAACACCTAATTCTTCTTCATTGACTATGCTAAAGCCTTTGACTATGAGGATCAAAAAACTGTGGAGAATTCTTAAAGAGATGGGAATACAAGACCACCTTACTTGCCTCCTGCAAAACCTGTATGCAGGTCAAGAAGCACCATTTAGAGCTAGACATGGAACAAGGGACTTGTTTAAAACTGGGAAAGGAGTATGTCAGGCTGTGTATTTTCTTCCTGGTATTCAACTTCTATGCAATGCCGGGCTGGATGTGGCACAAGCTGGAATCAAGATTGCTGGGAGAAATATTAACAACCTCAGATACACAGATGACATGACCAGAAAGTGCAAGAGCAGAAAGGGAAGAGGAACTAAAGATCCTCTTTGTAAAAGAGAAGAGTGAAAAATCTGGTTTAAAAGTCAACATTCAAAAAACTAAGATCATGGCATCTAGCCCCATCATTTCACGGGAAACAGATGAGCAAACAGTGGCTGACTTTATTTTCTTGGGCTCCAAAATCACTGCAGATGGTGACTGTGGCCATTAAATTAAAAGATGCTTGCTCCTTGGAAGAAAAGCTGTGACAACCCTAGACAGGGTATTAAAAAGCTCAGACATAACTTTGCTGACAAAGGTCAGTATAGCCAAAGCTATGGTTTTCTGAGTACTCATCTGTGATGTGAGGGTTGGATCATAAGAAGGCTGAATGCCAATTTTGATGCTTTCCAACTGTGGTGTTGAAGAGTCTTCAGAGTCCCTTGGACTGCAAGGAGAACCAACCAATCATAAAGGAAATCAGTCCTGAATATTCACTGGAGGAACTGATGCTGAAGCTGAAACTCCAGCATTTTAGCAGCCTATTTGGAAGTTCTGACTCCCTGGAAAAGACCCTGATGCTGGGAAAGGTTGAGGGCAGGAGGAGAAGGGGACAACAGAGGATGAGATGGTTGGAGCCACCATTGAGTTGATTGACATGGTCTGAGCAAACTCTGAGAGATGTTGAAGGACAGTGAAGCCTGGAAGCCATGGGGCTGTAAAGAGTTGGACATGACTGAGTGACTGAACAACTGCCTGCAACACATACCCACTCCCACATCTATTGCCTCTCCATTTCTGCCTTTGCCAAAGCCTTCCCAAGTTCTTTTAGGCACTTAGGAAAGGTGCCATAGAGACCTCTTCTGCAAGCTCTGTAGAAATTTCAGTTTATTCCACAGCAGTCATCACTCTGTATTGCAGAATATACTTACACAGCTTCTGAAGGATGGGTCACATGGGGGCAGAGTGGTCTTTCAGTAAATGTTCATTATATCATGGAATTAGTAAATTTTTGTAAAGCACCTTTTAAATTATTATCCATTTATCCTTAACGTTTCCTCTTTTACAGCTTCTGTATGTGGTGTGTGTGTGTGTGTGTGTGTGTGCATGCACATGTGTGCACGTTGTGCCCAACTCTTTGCAACTCCGTGGACTATAGCCCATCAGGCTCTTCTGTCCATGGGATTCTCTAGGCAAGAACACTGGAGTGTCCACAAACCCACACCTCAGAAGATTCTAGCTTAGAAGAAAAAGCAAATTGTTTTTGCAACTGAAGATTTCAAACTGAAAATCTGCTCACTCTGTTTTATCAATTGTCAATGAAAAATCAGTATTCAGTTCTCTCATCAATGCTTATCAATGCCAATTACACAATCTTCACGACACCAGTAAGAACTGATTAAAATTAGGTTTGCTCGTAAGAGATTTTGGTGCTAATATAAGGAACAATCTTAAGATCTACTTATACAACTAGATAGATCATGATTTTGTTATATAATTTAAAAATATCTGTATAAATTATGATATATAAATTCTTTAATACCTGTATTTCTGCTTATGGATGTGTGTATAAATATCAAATGTTTCTCAGTCATAAGGGTCATCTTATTAATTTACTTTATGTTTATAAAGTCATATATGTATATATATATATGATTAATTTACTATAGGTATTTTATGTTTATTGCTATAGGTATTTTAGTTTATAAAATAATATATATACTTAATTTACTCTAGGGATTTAATTGCACCTGCCAGTAAGGTTATACTCAAAATTCTTCAAGCTAGGCTTCAGCAGTATGTCAACCAAGATTTTCCAGATGTACACATTAGGGTTAGAGAAGGCAAAAGAACCAGAAATCAAATTGCCAACATTATTGGATCATAGAGAAAGCAAGGAAATTCCACAAAAACATCTACTTCTGCTTCATTTACTATGCTAAAGCCTTTGACTGTTGTGAATCACAACCAACAGTAGAAAATTCTTAAAACAGATGGGACTACCAGACCAATTTACATGTCTCCTGAGAAATCTCTAAGCATGTCAAGAAGCAAAGCTAGAAGCTTACATGGAACAAGTGACTGGTTCAAAATTGGGAAAGGAGTATGTCAAGGTTGTATACTGTCACGCTGCTTATTTAACTTATATGCAGAGTCCAGTTCAGTTCAGTTGCTCAGTCGTGTTTGAGGAATATATAATCATTCAAGTAAAGCAGAGTAAGGGAAATTCAGTAGAAATATATCAGAGAAAGTAACTAAACACCTACTCTAGACTATAGAATTAGAGTTAGTATAGTCAGTATTTGTCAAATAATAATGAGTATGCATGCATATGTACAAAACAGTAGGGTTTCCAGTAAATGTGTTTTAATGTATTGATTGGGCTACCTGTATATTGTCCTAAAAAGTTAAGCCAAAATTTAAATATATGTTGTCTCAGTTCAGTTCAGTCGCTCAGTCATGTCTGACTCTCTGCGACCCCATGAACCAGAATGCCAGTCCTCCTTGTCCATCACCAACTCCTGGAGTCCACACAAACCCATGTCCATTGAATCAGTGATGCCATCCAACCATCTCATCCTCTGTCATCCTTGTCTCCTCCTGTCCCCAGTCCCTCCCAGCATGAAGGTCTTTTCCAATGAGTCAACTCTTCGCATAAGGTGGCCAAAGTATTGGAGTTTCAGCTTCAACATCAGTCCTTCCAATGAACACCCAGGACTGAACTCCTTTAGGATGGACTGGTTGGATCTCCTTGCAGTCCAAGGGACTCTCAACAGTCTTCTCCAACATAATGGTTCAAAAGCGTCAATTCTTCAATGCTCAGATTCTTTATAGTCCAACTCTCACATCCATACACGACTGCTGAAAAAACCATAGCCTTGACTAGACGGACCTTTGTTAGCAAAGTAACGTCTCTGCTTTTTAATATGCTGTCTACTTTATGATTTTTTAAAAATTAATCAATTTGGTTGTGCTGTGTCTTCATTGCTGCATCATGCTTTCTTTAGTCACACTACTACTCTTGTGGTGCATGTGCTTCTCATTGGGTAGCTTCTCTTGTTGCTGACTACAGGTTGTAGGTGCATAGGCTTCAGTAGGTGTGGCATGCCAGCTCAGTAGCTGTGCCTCATGGGCCCAAAATCACAGGCTCAACAGTTGTGACACACTGGCTTTAGTTGCTCAGAGGCCTGTGGAATTGTCCCCAACCAAGGATGGAACAATTTCCCCAACACTGGCAGGCAGATTCATGTCTTCTAGTGTGCCACAGGAGAAGTCCTAGTTTGTCTATTTTAGACCAAGGGATATTTATTACCCCAAACAAAATCAACTTTCTTAAATGACTGAAATCACTCAGTCGTGTCCCACTCTTTGCAACCCCATGCACTGTAGCGTGCCAGGCTCCTCCGTCCATGGGATTTTTCAGGCAAGAATACTGGAGTGGGTTGCCATTTCCTTCTCCAGGGGATCTTCCCAACCCAGGGATTGAACCCAGGTCTCCCTCATTGCAGGCAGACACTTTACCTTCTCAGCCACCAGGGAAGCCCCAAGATGCTTGAAAAAAATCAGCATTTTTCTACCATTCATTAGTGGATTCATGTACATTCACGAGTGTACAACTGTAAAAAATCTGTCACATGAAATACTGTGAAACTAGCCTTTTGGAAAGAGTAGTTTTAGAAGTCTAGTTTTTCTTAAATTTCTCACTGATTTAATCACAACGAAGAGAAAGTAAGAAAATTCTGTTACATTGTTTTTAAAGGCTCACGTCATCTTGAAACCGTAATGACCTTAACCATTCCTTTGCCTAAGGTTGGTCATAAGCAGCTTTGATTACTGCTCCATTTAGAGATTCTTTCAGCACACTAAGTAATTATGTGTGAAGTTCCACCTGGTCAGCGAAGCAGACCCCAGGTAAGACTATTCACTCAGACTGGGTTAGTGAGTGGTTTGAGGTCTTAGGGTCCTTATTTCTTTCTCTTAGCACGCGGCTGAGAGGCAACAGGACAGGCAGAGTTCAGGGCGCAGCGTCATGATTTTACAGAAACCCTAAACGCCTCTTCTGCGAGCCTAAGTTCAGTGTCCTGTAGTTGTTACAGATAATATCAACCAGCGAGGTCCGAGAACATAAAGCCTCGCGCTGCGGAGCCGGTAAAGGAGTTGTATATACCCTTTATGCGTACCGACGTCGTCCGCAGTATTTTCCTTATCTCATCTTTCCCCGTACTGCCTCCTTTGGTTATTATGTGTGCTCCCAAAGTAATGAGAACCTCACCTTCCTTTTGCTACAAGGGTGTATGTAATTCGCACAACCAAACTTTGTGCTGTATCTGGGGCGGGGGGGCTACTCTTTCCCCGACTGGCGCGTCCATTAACCAATTACTGACGGGACTTTCCGCCCCTTCCTGTCCCTGGTTGGGGTCGGCCTCGGGTATCCAGCAAGTTCAGTGGAGCCGCAACTGACGTAAGTCAACAAAGGTCACGTGAAAAGAACAATTCCCTCCAATTGGCGGCGCCTGGCTGAGGGGGTGCGGGCGTCACGGCCACTTGGGGTTCGCCCAGTGACACGATTACAACAACTTTGTGCTGGTGAAGTTTGTGATTCTAAGAAATTCTTCCATTACAGTGACGTTCCGCCTTTTCTGTTGTCTCCGCTATTCCGGTGATGTGACTCTGGTAGCCGAACTCCGTACCCGCGTGTCCGCTTCTTTTGCTAACCTTGGGGTTTTTCTTCTCTGTGAGTCGTGTTGGAGAAGGCAGCGGCGATAAAGTTGGTTTGCCAGTTTCTCGCCGCTAGTGCGTCTTTTCCAGCTCCCGACTGGGAGTTGGTAGGTTTCAGATTTGGGAGTTTTGCGTTGGTTGCATTTACATGAAATCCTGCGGAGTTTCGCTCGCAGCAGCCGCCCCTGCTTTCAGTGATGAGGAACAGAAAATGGCGGCGGGAAAACCGAGAGGCAAGAGTAAGGAAGGGACCTTAAGCTTGACAGCCGAGGAGAGGGAGGAGCTCAGCGGATTGGACAGGTAAGGACCCCCGTTATTCTCCCAACTGCCTCGGCACGGACTGGAGTCGCCCTTTGAGGACAGCGGACCTCGGGGTGCTTGCGGTAGCGGCCCCTTGGAAGCAGTGGCTGCTGCTGAAGCCTCGGGATCTGGAACGGACAGACCGGGTAGCTTTACCCTAGCCTTAACAAGTGTCCTGTATTTCTTCCCATAGCCGCCTGTTTGGGTTCCTGAACCTTCACGAAGATGGCGCCAAGACTGAGACTCTGTTGCTCAAGGTAAGGCAATCATGAGTGAACTTGACCGTCACTAGACCGTTAATATGCACAGTTGTAAAATTTTCAGACATAGACCACTTGGACTTTTTTTTTTTTTTTGGCAGTTATTTTTCTGGCGTCTAATTTTAGTTTGATTTTAAGCTTTCTTATATCCTGTTCTCGGAAAGTAAGACTTGCAGTACCTGACATCAGTGAAGAGTTAAAACTAGGTATGTCATCGATATACAGATCTTTATGTGTTTGACCAGAAGTTAAGTGATTTGTTTACTTCTTTGGGTCTAGCCGTTAAGAAATATAACCGTTAATGTCATTTTATGATCGTGTTGTTTCTGGAGCCTAGTTTCTTGTGTGAAGGAGACCAGGGAGGTTTGGCTGTGTGTGAAAAGTTGTTGGCACTGTCATTTAGTTAATGGCTGCCCCTGTCGGCCAAGATGGCGGGAAATGGTGCAGAAATGACTCTGCGAGCTTCGAGAGAGGTTGTAGATATAAACAGGGAAATACTAGCAAGGAGTATGCCTTTGTCTCAGCTCCTGTAGCTCGATAGTGCTGAACAAAAATTAAGCATTATTATCTAAAAGTATCTTTCTTTTATCGTTACCAAGCTTCACAGCAGCTTTCATAAACACTGAATATGCTTAACAGCCCTAAGCACATTAAATGAACCTTAGTCATCTAATTTTATGATTGTACAGAGGCCCTAAGCCTGTCATTTTTTGTCTCCTGAGCAAAATCTGGTTAAAGTGTATTCTCCTGTCTGGAAGCTGGAGATTTTGGACAAATCTTGCTTCCATTAGTTTCTTTTTTTAGATGAAATTGGTTATTGTGAATTTCTCTGTAGTGCAGTTGAGAAGGAAATGTTATGTGATTTTTACTTTTAAAGTGTTTTTCCTGACCTGATTCTCATCTTTAGTTTGAGTTTGTGTAGTTAAGTTTCTTTCCCCCATAATCTCCCTTTTGTCTCCTCAGCTAAGAGTGACCACCAGCTGAACTGTAATAATTTTTTCACTAAGTCCAGTTGATTGGCTAAAACTTAAGCTTTTATCATGTATGTGAAAATTGCTGCAATAAATTTATCACTGGCAAAGTAAATAGTGACTAGATCTAATAAGCGACCATGATTGTTGTTCTTAGTTTAAAGAAATTGAATACTTTCAAAGTTGCCCGAATAAACTGAAAAAATTTTGACTTTAAGAGGATGTTACATTGTAGAGTTGATCTTTTAACTTGGGTCAGTGAGGTTGAGAATGTGCTGTGCTTTGCTGAAGTTGAGCATACTGATGGTAATTTGAAAATGAATGGGCAGATGTGTTACTCCAGTTATGATAATTAAAAAGATACCATGACTTTTGATTTCTTACTTGTTCATAACTTTAAATATCCAAATACATGAACTCAGATAAATTCTCAGTTGATAGTATTCAGTGTTGGGGATTTGATATTAACTGCTTACAATATGATGCAGTTTTGGGTTTAAATTTTAAGAAACTCTCTTCAACTGGGACTTCCCTGGTGGCTCAGACGTTAAAAGCAACTGCCTACAATGCGGGAGACCTGGGTTCGTTCCCTGGGTTGGGAAGATCCCCTGGAGAAGGAAATGGCAGCCCACTCCAGTATTCTTGCCTGGAAAATCCCATGGACAGAGGAGCCTGGCAGGCTACAGTCCATGGGGTCACAAAGAGTCAGACTTGATTGAGCGACTTCACTTTTACTTTCTTCAATTATTAGTTATGAAGGTGAGCTTGTCTCTCAAATTAAGTAATTTTCTAATAATAAGAAGGCTTGAACTTTCATTATGTAGAATTGTAGCTTTGTGGAACATGGTGTAATGTTATTTTATTGACTATTGTAAATGTTTTCAGTGAAATAGAAGATAACTTGATTAATATTTAGCTTTGAGACTTGTGAATTCCTCTCTCCTAGATCAAGACTCATTAACCTTAATATTAGTCACTTAAGTGAAGTGAAATATTCTGGGTTGTGTTAGCAACCTTATGGATTCACCTCTCCCTACTTTTTTAATGATATTTGGCATAAAGTAAAACTGCTAGGATTTAACATGCTCAAATTGGACATCATAGTTTCATTAGGCCTGTGTTTGAAGTCTTTTTTCATCAGGAGTGCTTTATCTCAATGGTTAGTTTCTCTCTCTGAAAAAAAAATTAAGTGTAATGTTATGTGCCATTGGAATTGTTATAATCGTGGACTCTTAAAGCTTTCTAATAAAAGAGCTTTTGAAGAATTGCCATATATACCCAGTGTTGGAAATTTTAGATTTAAAGTGAAGTGAAGTTGCTCGTCGTGTCTGGCTCTCTGCGACCCCATGGACTGTAAATTGCCAGGCTCCTCTGTCCGTGGAATTCTCCAGGCAAGAAAACTTGGAATGGGATTGCCATTTCCTTCTCCAGAGGATCTTTCCAGCTCAGGTGTCAAACCTGGGTCTATAGCATTGACTCTACCATCTGAGTTAGATTAAAATAAGCTGTAAACAGTTAGTTGTTATCTAATCAAAGTTTTTGAACTGTCACATGACCTTAAGTAGGTTACAGGTTTTTAAAAAATAATTAATTCATTAGGCTGCTCTGGGTCTTAGTTGCAGCATGTGGGATCTAGTTCCCTGACAAAGGAGGGAACCCTGGCCGAGTGCCTTGTTGAGTTCCGAGTCTTAACCACTGAACCACCAGGGAAGTCCCTCAACTTTTTTTAATTAGAGTGTATTTTAACTGATTAGAGAGGCCTTTTCACAGAAATTATCAGCGGTGATTTTCCTTGCAGTTTAGAAAATGTTTTGGATTGATTTTTTTGTTAGGTAAGAATATAATTGAAATAGAATTGTTCACTGAAATAAAAAAAGCAGAATATGAGATCTGTGAGTTTCAGGTTTGTTTAGAGCCTTACTGAGGACTGCAGCCTGGAAGACAGCCTCTCAGATTGTTCTGAGGAATTCCTCTGCCTAGGTAAGAGGTAAGCCAGTATATAAACTTGGTAGAAGATTTACTGCTATTCAACAGCATGCACGAATTCTGGATTGCTTCAGTCCTGTCTGACTTCTTGCCACCCCATGGACTGTAGCCCACCAGCCTCCTCTGTCCATGGGATTCTCCAGACAGGAGCACTGGAGTGGGTTGCCATTCCCTTTTCTAGGGAATGGTTATCTTAATGATTTTAGTGCTTTTTAAAGTATGGGAACGTGCAGAATATAAAATTTTTTTCCCAAAGGTATGTTAACTGTCTGAAAACATGTGTCACTTATTCCTGAGCAGAGTACCTCTTTCTTTTTCTCCACCCTGAGCTTCTTTCAGGATGTGTTAAGGTCGGTAGCTGCCATGGCTAGTGACTCAATCTTTGTAGAATCAGATGGCAAGTGATATTTTTGGTTTATAGACTGTTACTAATATGGTACTCCTTTAAAATAATGCTGGAGGTCTGGGAATGTATTGCTACTGTTTATTTAGAGGTATCTTTGTAAATATTTAGTCTTATCTACAAAATATTATCAAAACTTTGGGTTTAGGGTGTTTTTTTGGGTAATTACCTGGGTCAAGAAGATCCCCTGGAGAAGGAAATGGCAACCCACTCCAGTATTCTTGCTGAGAAATCCCATAGAGAGAGCAGCCTGGTAGGCTATAGTCCATAGGGTCACAAAGAGCTGGACATAACTTAGCAACTAAACAATAACATTAATCATTAAAGAGGTTAGGGAAGTTGTAGTTTGTCTGCTGTTCAACGATGTGTACATTTTTACCTTGAGGGATATTTTTAGAATAGTTGTTATTTAAATGTGTTTGAGAAATGGAAATAATTTAAAATTGATTAAAACATACATTTTTCTAGATTTGATCTGCTTATATGTAGTTGGTGATGGACAGGGAGGCCTGGCATGTTGCAATCCATGGGGTCACAAAGAGTCAGGACATGACTAAATGATCTGAACTGAACTGATACGGAGAAAAATTTATTAATATGGTTTCAGAAATGGTGTTTTTGTACTGTAATCTTTCAGTGGTGATATTTAAAGTTTCCTTATATAAATTTTCTATTTGCTGACATTTAAGCATATTTTCATTTCCTTTTTTTTTTTTTGGCTGAGCCTCATGACTTTAGGAACCTTACCTCCCCATAGGGATTGAATCCCGTTAGCACTCAGCTAACCACTGAACTGCCAGAGTCAATGTATTCATTTCCCAGTTTAGAAATGTAGTTGTTTGAGTTAAAAAAGAAACAGTAGAAATAATATAATTTTGTGTTATTTAGAAATTGTATTTAATTTGAGGCACTAGAAACTCTTGTTAGAAAAGTTGCCTTTTTTGTGTGAAAGTTGCCTTTTAAATAATTATGGTTTGAGTTTTTACCTGTTAGTGAACAAAGTCTTGGGTAGGCTCTATGTAAGAATGTTAATATGAAATTTTGGTATAACACCTTATATAAAGTTCATAAGAGATTACAGAAAGTATTTTAATATTGGTGCACAATTCAGAAATTGCCAGCTTACAAATGGAAACTTTCTTAGATTTGAAAGACTTCCTTTTTAGAAAGTGAAATAACTCTTTTAAAAATGTAACTAAGTGGGTAATATTTGGTAGTCATTATTAAGGTATGAATAAAACTTCTGTTTGATAGGAATCATGACTTGGGTGATAAAACTTAGGAGGCACCAGTCAGTAAATCAAAATGAAGTTTTAGCACTTGGCCGATTATGGAGTCTTTTTCATATTTGGAACCAGTCTTTTGTTCCATGTCCAGTTCTAACTATTGTTTCCTGACCTGCATACAGGTTTCTCAAGAGGCAGGTCAGGTGGTCTGGTATTCCCATCTCTTTAAGAATTTTCCACAGTTTATTGTGATCCACATAGTCAAAGGCTTTGGCATAGTCAATAAAGCAGAAATAGATGTTTTTCTGGAACTGTCTTGCTTTTTTGATGGTCCAGTGGATGTTGGCAATTTGATCTCTGTTTCCTCTGCCTTTTCCAAAACCAGCTTGAACATCTGAAAGTTCATGGTTC